TAATTAAAATGTTGCCCATTTTCAATTATTCAAAACCCAAAACATATTGTATGTAATTACTTAGATATAAATCAGAATATCATTACCAATCATTACGGACTCTTTATCTGGTTCTTTTAAATATGAGAATTTTTTATCGTTTTCATTTTTAATTGAACCTTACAATATATTTTCTCCTATATGTGTGTCTCCCGTATGCGTGAGCGTGTGTGTGTGTGTGTGCGTGTGCGTGTGCGTGGGCGTGCGCCTGTGTGTGTGTGTGTGTGTGTGTGTGTGTGTGTGTGTGTGTGTGTGTGTGTGTGTGTGCGCATGCGCGCACGTGCGTGCGTGCGTGTGTGTGTGTGTATAATATCTGACTTGTTCTTATCCAAGCATTTCTATGGAAAACACTATCTGTATAATTTAAGCTCGATGCAGCTGATGACCTGGAGGTCATCTACCTACTGACTCAGCAAACACCTTGCCCCTTACCGCCATCTATCGAATCCTTTCTTTTTCCTATCGATATCTGTAGAGTTGTAACGAACGATACACATTAATGAAACTTCATTAAAATCCACTGAACGGTTTCGGAGACTAGCGTAAACAAAAACTGTGACAGTATTTGTATATATTTATTTATTTATACTTTTACACACGTCGAAAAATGTCTACAGGGCGGACTTACTAGAGGGAGACTTTGTACAAAAGTCGATTGCTTGGACACCTCTGTCCCATTCGTGTTTCAACCGTAAAGCAGTTGTGTTTGCATGGCTGTGTTTCGGTTTGAAGGGTGGGATATGGCATGAATTTACTGGGTACAAAGGAATAACACCTGAGTCCTCAGAAATGGCAACGCATGGGGGTACCATGGGCGAAACAGTATACTCTGTTATGTCCATGGTACTGCTCATGTCTATAGGCGACGGTTACCACTTTCCATTAGGTGAGCCGTCAGCTTGTTTGCCATTTTAAGTATAAATTCTAAGTATAATATTCTTGTATAAAAAAAAAAACTTAATGCCTGATGGCATTCTCTACTATTTGTATTTGTATATATAAGAAAATAATATAGTCACTATCTACTTTACGAATATGGAAGCGAAATTACAGGATTCATAAACTAAAAATATACTTTTATTAATATTTAAAAAAAAGATTTTTTTTTTTAAATATGCTCTTTTATTTATACTAACTTTGATATGTCACAAATCAATTTTGCATAAAATAAATAAAAAAAAAAGTCCTTGATGATTTCCCGCGTAAAAGCCACGTAGGTAAAAGAGATTTTTTTTAATACGTTTATTCTGTTGTGGAACAGGCTAAGGTCGGAGACCATGCTGCTTTGTCTTCAATATGATAATTTGTCTGGAATTAAAAGAGATAAATTGAATTGTCAAAGTGACAATTTGTTTATAGAGTACTTAAAATTCTTTCGGGAATTTCATACGAATTTGGCTTCTGGCCATAGACCATTCAATGAGGTGACAAAAATTTTCCTCCCAAGTTTTTTTTATGCTCATCTTAAATAGATTATTATTATTATGCATTTTATAAATCTTACTCATTGGTAAAAGTATCACGCGATATGAACTATTGTTATATACACGTCTATTGATTCCTAACATGACCAAACATTTTTTATAAATAACGTATTTCTTTTTTAATGGGTGAAAATAGAATGGTAACCCCGCCCGCGTTATCGGTATACACCGACGACGCACCAGTGGAAGATGATAGGTGAGAATTAATACAGGTCTGTTGGCCCACCATGATGAATTCGACAAGAATTAACCATGATGGTTTCCAGGGAGAACCGCGTGGAGGTCGACCTGAAAGGATATATTGCTAGCAATGGGGCTATTAGACCTCATTACTAACAATTCCTTTCCCCCTATGTAACGTATTGCAACGAAGATATAGCCAATTTTTTTTATGGATTACTAGCGACCTGCCCCGGTTTCGCACAGGTGCAAGGCTTATGCAGCGACACAGACTCGAAGCTATAGCCAATTTTTTTATGGATTACTAACGACACGCCCCGGCTTCGCACAGTTGCAAGGCTTATACTAAATATACTACAAGATACATTAAAGTAAATGATAAAAAATGGTTTATGTGGGTTATCCTTAAGAGATAGACATATACCATCGCGGACTTATTTGTTGACCTTTTTAAGGTGTACAATACTGTAGTACATTATTTTGATTTATCTCGTAAGGTTCAGCCAGCGTTTGCAATGTAAGCGCAAAAAATGTGTTTATTTACGACATCACATTAGAAACCTCTAAATTCATCAGTGTTTCTCTACAATATTATGCATGTATTATACATATAAACCTTCCTCTTGAATCACTCTATCTATTAAAAAAACTGCATCAACATCCGTTGCGTAGTTTTAAAGAGCTAAGCATACTCGTACATATGGGCAGACAGACAGCGGGACGACTTTGTTTTATACTATGTAGTTTTTTTTTTTTTGTTGGGTGAAAATGGTATGGTAACCCCGCCTGCACTAACGGAATACGCTGACGTAGCACCAGTGAAGGGTGATAGATGAGAATGAAAGCAGGCCAGTTAGCCCATCATGATGAATTCATCAGGAATTAACCATGATAGTTTCCAGGGGAACCGCGTGGAGGTCGACCTGGTTGAGTATATTGCTAGCAATGGGATTCTCAGTCTCCATTACTAACAATCCCTTTCCCCCCTATACTATGTAGTGATTATGACAACGAATGCCTAAGGGCGCTCTAGCGGCTCGGATCTCTAATTAAGCCATCGTATTTAGACTATGGGACTGAGGGTTGACTGGTTTGGTCTTTTAAATTATAAATACCAATAAAAAAAGTAATTTATGACACTGTTCATAAGAGTGGGCGACAAAGGAAACCAGGAATGGAAATTAGAAATATATATGTATATTAATAACTATAATCTATAATCTTTTTTTTTATACAACTTAAAATGGCAAACAAGCTGCCGGCCCACCTGATGGAAAGTGGTAACCGTCGCCTATAGACATGAGCAGTACCGTGGACATAACAGAGTATACTGTTTCGCCCATGATACCCCCCATGCGTTGCCATTTCTGAGGACTCAAGTGTTATTTCTCTGTACCCTGTAAATTCACGACATATCCCATCCTTCAAACCGAAACAACCATGCAAACACAACCGCTTCACGGTAGAAACACGAATGGGACAGAGGTACCCAAGCAATCGGCTTTTGTACAGTCTCCCTCTGGTATCTGAGGCACAGAGTATGGAATAAGTACATAGCCCCGGAAATGACGTTCAATGACAATCCACGCAAGTATCGTGTCACGTCAATGTATTTATTACACTATGGTATCACTACGCACCTTTTACGGCACACTACCCAAATTAGACATGTTTCAAACTCATGTATATATTATCCTAAAAACAAGAAATTACATAGAAAAAGTGATAAAATTTCAATTCATAGCAGGCTAGTGTATAGAAAATGTTATACGGCCGTATAACCATACCAAATTCAGATGCAACCCGCTCGCATACTTTCTACATAAACTGTGTCGCATATATAATCTAGTAATGTAAAATTTGTCATTGACAAATAATTGACATATCAAACATTTTCTATACACTAGCCTGCTATGAATTGAGAAAAAAGGCAACTGATGGTGTATCTTTCGTCCTCTTTTTACTAATTATATTTGCATAGGAAAGGAGTTTTAAGTTGCATAAAAAAAAATACCCGAATAGACATATATCTGAAATATAAACAACAAAATTGCACATTTTTCGTGTAATTACGCTGTTACCTTTAAAGGGAACATTCCAGAACAATCAGACATATTTTGTAAAAGGATTGGTAGAAAAAAGTATCCAAATAAAATTCCTCTCTCCATGTCTCCGAATTGAATTTAAAATCATAATAGATACATGAAATATTGATACATTTGCAACTTCAATTGCACGACAATTTCGACCCGTCACCTGCACAAGTTTACAAACAGGGGGGAAATGGATTGTTAGTAATGGAGACTGAGAATCCCATTGCTAGCAATATACCCAACCAACCAAATATTATGGTTAATTCCTGATGAATTCATCATGATGGGCTAACTGGCCTGTTTTCATTCTCATCTATCACCCTTCACTGGTGCTCCGCCAGCGTATCCCGTTAGCACGGGCGGGGTTGCCATACCATTTTCACCCATCAAAAAAAAATGTGTATAAACAGCGCACACTAGTGTAACTATTTTCTTGTCTTGTTTAGGGTTCCGTACCGCCAAAGGAAAAAACAGAACCCTTATAGGATCACTTCGTTGTCCGTCCGTCCGTCCGCTAAGACCCTTTTTCTTAGAAACGCGTGGAGGTATCAAGTCGAAATTAATATCATATACTCACGTCTGCAATCTCTTAAAGCAGTGAAAAAGTCAAGTTTTTAAATCGACGCATTCAAAAGATACGGTCGTTTATTTTCCATTTATTTCGCATATTTTGACATTCACAGAAGGAATCGAAATTTTGGCAAGAAACAATGTCATGTAGTACAAGTAAAGGAAAAAATTGGAAAACTGTAAATTTTTAGTTATTTCACAAAGAAAAATTTTAACTTGATGATATTGTACGGAGCCCTCGTTGCACGAGTCCAACTCTCACTTAACCGGCTTTTTTATTGCTTTACCATTTTGTCAGTAAATGAGTACGATCCGAAATCTTTGGGTACAATATACTACGTCTGTGTTTTGCATACACACACAAATGCACATCGACCAAGGAGAGAGAGAAAAGAGAGACCCAAACGCCGTGCACACTTCAATCGTATCCGTCAATCGTAGCTGATGGACGCGTCCTATACTTTGTTAGAGACTACATCGTACTCCTTGGGATGGTAATATATTACTGTATTCAATATATGTATATCTAGTAGGTTTTGTTCCTATCCATTCTGGGTCGTGAGCTTATTTGCATTTCCAGATCGCGTAAACAAATGAAAGACTATTACTAACCTATGTATCTTATTTGTTACAGAATGCGGAAAATCTTCAAGAAGATTTGAAACCTAATTTAAAATAAATAATGGGTAGTGCAAAAGAGTCGCCAGCGAAACCACTATTACCAATGGCTGATACCGCAGACAAGAAATCCATAGCTAAACTGATAAAGAGGCTCTTTAAGAAAGATAAAAAGAAAGATGAAGTTGTTAAAGTGGACGTAAAACGAGAAGAGCAACCAACTGTGAAAGTCGATCCAAATACTGCAACCGTCGCGAACATAATTGAGAATATTAAGAAACTCGAATTGAACGACAAAACACCTGAATCTGATGAGGATGACGAATTGAAACATTTCTCCTTTAAAGTGGTAGAGGACGAAGGCAGAGGGGAGAGGATTGACTCCCATTCTTCTGAAGACAGCGGCTTCTCAGAAAAGGTCGACGACTGCGACGAGAAATGCAAAGAAGAATTGGTCGAGTCATTGAACAATTTGAAGATAGATATAGGTAAGAAACAGAAGAAACTTCAGACCGTCGTGGTATCAAGAACGCCGATCAGAAATAAAGTTAGTGATTTCGGATCTAACGCAAGACCGTATCCAGTCCAGTCGACAGATGTCGCTTTTAGACAGGTAAATATTTAATTACTTTTATTAGATATAGAAATTCCCCTTATGGTGGAGGGAGGCCTATGTTAAGCAGTGGACAAAAAATGGCTGATTTGATATAAGGTTTATTTAAATGTTGACAATCTAATGGTAATTCTCCATGTAATCCCGCCACCTTCCCTTCCCATGGGTGTCGTAATGGCGACTAAGGGAGCATAAAGGTCGAGGAATGTGCAGCCCTCTTAAACATCACCAAAAGCCTGACTTACATTATATAGAGCGTCGAGTGTCAAAATCGTGTGAACATTTAGTCAGCTAGTTTGACATTTAATTTTTTTTTTTTAATCAGAACAAAATACGCGCTTATGTTTAGTGTTGTGCAAGTAATCGATTTAAAATTTTTCCAGATTAGGTTAGGTCGATTTAAGAAATTTGAATTTGTAACTATATTTTCTGAAATAATATTAATATATGTTATTATTAATTATAATCCTGTGGTAATGGTAATGTGTCGTCATTATAACGACTTACTGCTCGACCGCAAATCCATCGACATATTCGGTGCAAAATATTTGCTCTTTAGGAAGAACTTGTTTTCTATTTTGTCATATAATTGAAAAAATGTTTTATATATATATATATATATATATATATATATCTTTTATATATTTATATAACATTTTAAGTATTTTCTTTATTTTATGTGTTTGCTTTTAATGAATTACTCAAGCTGTGCACATAATGTGATTGGATTATAACCTAGCCGAATCACAAATTTAACTATTATTTAAGTTTTTTATGGTTGTGATCTGTGAAGTGTGGCATGAAAGACGATGTAGTGACAAAAATCGAAAAAGGAATGTTTCGTTGGTTCGGCGATTTGGAGAGGATGAAAGAAGAATTACGAAAGAGATACATCGAGCAAGAATAAATGAAGATGTCGGTAGGGGCCGCACTAGACGGACGTATGTTGACCAAATAGGCGACGTGCTGAAGAAGGGCCAAACTAAAAGTACCCGTAACCGGCGAGCGTGTATGAAAAGATTGATGAATGTGGAAGAAGCGAAAGAGGTTTGTTTGAATCGAAGCATTTGGCGTTCCATTGTTTCTGCCTACTCTAATGGGAGACAGGCGTGACAGATATGTATGTATGTATATGGTTGTGATCTGTTTTATGTGCCAATAAAATAAAATATATATATATAAAGTTGACCAATTTTCAGTGAATCACTTTAGACTCCACTGTCTGTATAATCTAAACATAAGTATACAAATAATTTCCCAGCCATGACACTGGCATGTCGACATTCAAAAATATTGCCGTTATTCATATTTATTTGTATTTGCCGTTCTTGTGCTAATAATAATACTTTTTAAAGAACTCAATGCTTTGTAAGCGACTACGAAGGTTCAGGTACAAATCTTTACAATACAAACTTAAATTTTTTCTCACAATGCATGTACCTAAAATTCTCAATTGTACGTAAACTACCTGTTTGAAGATGGTCCAACCACAGAGTAAAAAATCACTGCTTTGTTAAATAGTTGACACTGCTCATACGTGACAAAATTGGTAAATGAACCTATGCAACCATCTAGGTATATCGACACAATAAAATTAATGAGGGTTCATAGCGTTGTATAACAATTTATATAATATACCTATATCCAAAATATACATTAAATACATATTTATCATAATTACATTACATATATTTTATCATAAAAGACTTAGATGCTTTATAGTATAATATTCCTAATTTCAAAGTACTGGTTGCACAGATTGTAAGGATTAGTTTTTTTTTTTCGAAATATTTTTTTCTGTTAGAAGTGACGCAAACTTGGTTAAATCTAATTAGACATTATCATAATGAATCAAGTTCAACGCTAAAGAATTTTTATATACAGCTAAAGCTACATGTAACTTTTAATTCGACGTCAGTGTTTCATATATAAGTAATAGGTATGTAAAAATTATTAGATATATTGTAGACTATTATTCTTTGAATTAAATCGTACCAATATTGATTTTCTATTAGGAGTGTATTATATATAGTAGTATATTATATTTATTATATGTATATATTTATCCAATAAAGGAAATCCTATTAGTACAATAAATGCGAAAGTTTATAATGGTATCCACCATTATAAACTTTCGCATTTGTTTGTAATTTTTTTGCGCAAAAGCTACTGAACAGACTTAAAAGGAATGTTATACACTAATAGGGTATTACTAACTTAGCACATAGTATACTTTATGAAGTGGCTAATATTAAATATGGCTAATCCAATTTATAATGTCGAATTAATGAACCCAATCCAAACCAGAAGGAGACTTTGTACAAAAGTCGATTGCATGGGTACCTCTGTCTGTCTATTACTAGTACCGCATTCGAGTATTCTGACACTTCCCTATGGTTGACTGGGAGAGAATGCTTTTAGCATTAAGTCCGCCATGTACACATATTTGTACTAATGAATAAATAAATAAATAAATTTACAACATATCCTAAAAATAGAAACCCATGGTTTTTCCTACCTACAATTAAATATTATACGTATTTCCCGCCAAAACTGGTCATTGGTTATCTATCTAAGTCAAAGTGTCAATTTCTAAAGTAACTATAAATCAAAATATGTACTTACTGTGCATGCGAAATATACAAATATAATAAATCCCACCGTGTAAACTGAATTGAATAAAACTACATTTTCCGCATTATTAATAACACTTTAAAACAAAAATGGCCAGTATGTTTCTTATTTCAATTAGCACAAGGAATATTTCCATACAGCCGTATAGCTTTTAATCAATTGGAGTGATGTACCTATGTATTAATTATATATTCTGACGTATATTACTTTATGGTCAAGGAGGATAAATTGTGTTGTAGTTTTTTTTTTTTTTAAATAATAGGTAGTTTTGAAAAATACGTCAACGCCATTTTGTAACAGACACGTAATAGGGTTTCCTTTGCCTCAAGTTATAACATAATCGTTCTGATAAATACAGATAATATCTATTTCCTTGTGCTTCACTTTTTTTATTCTTTTCTAACGACCTGCACTGACTTCGCACGGGTAAATAGAATTTTCTAAAATAATATATTATTACTTATTGAAAATGCAGTTTTATATATAACTACATATTATATATAAAACCGCATTTTTTAAAGTTGGTTAAGTAGTTTTTGAGTTTGTCCACTACAAACTAACAATCAAACTTTTCCTTTATAATCACTACATATAAAACAAAACCTCCTCCGCGTCTGTCTATCTGTATTTTCGATATAAGTTGATGCCTACAAACTAGAAATCATATGCCACAATTTTAAGAAAACTTTATTTCTATTACAGATCCATCAAGTCAACAAGCAGTTTTTCAGCGGAGGTCAAGTCATAGAGAATCCGGTTGCCACCATCGACAAGACCATAAGTACACCTCAATGTCATACAAATATTCCCGCCGCCCGACACCAACACGACAACCGCCTCGAGTTCGACTTAGCCATCGAGCACGTTCAGAAAACAACAGAATCCTCCCAACACGAGTATGGCCAAGAATGGCTACTAAACACGGTCAACGAGGTCATAGACAACATAGAAAAAAACAGCGATATAGAATCTGAGCTGAATGTATTCGGGCTGAACGAGACGGAGGATATAAATTTCGCACAATACAATAGCTACCTTCAAGCGGAGGTGCCGAACCCGATCGAGGAGTTCGAAAACCACTTAGACAACGGTGCAACCTGCCTAACAAATTACGATGACGTTTACAATCTGATAAACGATAAATATGCTCAGGAATATAACAGGCCAGAGGAGTCTTTTGTGTTCTTGACACCGCCACATTCGGAAGAAGTGGCCAGTCCCATGTCAGATTCTCAAGCGTCTATGTACAGAAATACGTCAGAGTACACTCTGTCCCCGGAAAGGTCTTCCCCGATCGGAAACAGTGACTGTGAATTGTTCCAGGAAATTCCCCACGGTATTGAACAGTTAGATTATCCAACATGCGTATCTGCCGACAGTGATGTTACCAAATCTAGGAACAGGTCGTCTTCAACTGGATCTTTGAAGAAACGGATGAAAGAATATAAAGATCTGCAAAAAGAGATAGGAAATAGATACAGTAAGAAAGAATGCTGTCAATTATCAAGAAAACCGTGTAAAATAATATTTCAGGAGCACATGCAAAAGTTGAAGATGGAACAAAGGGCGGGACTTTGTCTAAAGGTCGCAAAGATGGACTTGAAAACCGCGTTTGGGTAAGAATTCCTTAATGTTTTCTAACTATATTTTACGGGCAAAACCAGGACCACCCTATCTTTATGATAAAACCCTTAGCGGTGGCTTAAAATCTTGCTAATTTTAAAATGGTCTTTTGTAAATTTGGTATTAAATCTTTAATAATAAAATGGTAACACGTGTAATAAAAGATCTACTAACTAGTTCGCGTTACAAACAAAACTGTTTTTTCATTGTTATCACCATATCTTTATAGTTAAGCCTTATTAGTGAATTAAAATCTTCGCATACAGCTCCTTATAAGACATGATGGGAGCAATGAAACCATATTTGACCAAATTAACACCGATACATAAAACATCTAGCCTTTTTCTCAGAATTTGATGTTTTTCTGCGACTGATCTTGATCCTATTGTGAAATAGATAGCTAGCTTTTCGTTGAATAGTCTTCGAGTTTAATTTAAAAGGCAAATATCATTGACTACAGGCCTACTTTTGTCTGTGGTATGGTAACCCCGCCTGCGCTATCAGTATACATTGGCGGGACACCAGTGAGGGGTGATAGGTGAGATGAACCACACATGTCCTATCGTAATGATTCCACCAGGAACCAAGAAGAGGTCGAACTCACATTACTAGCAATGGAGTCGCCAGTGCTTGATCCTATCTTATTCGCGTATGGGATCAACTAAGTCGTTGCACATTGGGATCTTTTGTGCTTCCCCCTGCCTTATACCATCATTTTATAGATCATATGTGGTACATTTACGATATCCCGCGGTTTAAAACATCTATAGTCTGGCTCTGGATAAGCCGTTCCTAGTAGACTCATACGCATACTTACCAACGAATCACAGTTGCAAATCAGGTGTTCCATGGATTTCGATTTCTCAGCGCACAATCTGCACATGTCCGAGGATAAACCCTTTTTATACAGTACTAGCGGCCCGACCCGGCTTTGCACGGGTGGATATTTTAACATTTAAAAAAATGGTTATTGTGACATAACGATAATATTTGGACATATAGTATCGTGAAGTTTTTTGTAGTTATTGATATTTTCTTCAATATTGTAGAACATACTTTTGTTCTATCACCAATAGTTTCCGCAGCGCACGCGACGAAAGATATTTTATAGCATTTTTTTACACCTTGAGTTACATTACTAAAGATCCCTAATCTTTTCTAGCAATAAATATAGCCTATGTTACTCAGGGTGAATGTAGCTTTCTAATGGTGAAAGAATTTTTGAAATCGGCAAAGTAGTTTTTGTGTTTATTCATTACAAACATACATACACACAAAAGCACAAATCTTTCCTCTTTACAATATTAGTGTAGATATGCTTTACTGGCATATTTCCAGCTATGAGACTCATTATGAGTCTTGCCTGTTGTCTGCCACTACTGTAGATGAGTTTATCCCATCCCTCAGCCTTGGGGTCTACCATGAAATGAAATTCCGAATTTTCGCGCTCAATTTCGTGTTTTTGTTCGTACCGAAATCGTCCCAGTAAATGGAGCTTAACATTTCGTTTGTCATAAATCCTACCATAAAAGTTTAAAGGAACGATATTTTAGCATTTTTAATATTTTTAAACGGTACATATCATATAATTTAAACATCAAATATTTGTTTCGTTCGGATCCGAAATTTCGGAATACATTTCATGGTAGGCCCTCTTATCATAGCCTGATTGCTAGCAGTATGCTCTATACCGCTAGCAATCAGGCTAATACTAACAACCCTTCCCCCCCCCCCCCGGGTCTCACCACATATGTAACAGTTACCCCTTTCAATCCAGGTGGGCTGTTAGCTTGTTGACCATTCAAATTGTATGAAATGAATTTAAGTCTTCTTAAAGTTAAGATACTAACCAGCCTAAATACGACTCTTTTAACCCTTAAAGTAAAGAATTGTGTCCCACAAAAAAAAAAAACCACTTCAATTGTGACAAAACATTTTGGTTTAAAAAATAAACAACTACATATGTTTTTTACCTCATTAACTATTTTCACCTACGTTTTTTACCTCATAACGCCGTTAGTTTTACCAGAGGGAGACTTTGTACAAAAGTCGATTGCTTGGGTACCTCTGTCCCATTCGTGTTTCAACAGTGAAGCAGTTGTGTTTGCATGGCTGTGTTTCGGTTTGAAGGGTGGGATATGGCGTGAATTTACAGGGTACAGAGAAATAACATCTGAGTCCTCAGGAATGGCAACGCATGGGGGTATCATGGGCGAAACAGTATACTCTGTTACGTCCATGGTACTGCTCATGGCGACGGTTACCACTTACCATCAGGTGGGCAAAAAAAAATTTGTTTTATCTGCAAATATATCTAAAAATATAGATCCCAATTTAATTAAATCAATCCAGTGGTTTAGTTTTTAGATCAAAGTAACTGCTTTTGTCACTATTTTTCAAATTGATAAATTAATGCAAGAACAAAAAACTTCCGTGTATTCTAAAATAGGTTTATGAGAGATTTTTTTTTTTATATACAACTTAGAATGGCAAACAAGCTGACGGTCCACCTGATGTAAAGTGGTAACCGTCGTATATAGACTACGGTGACCGCTTACCATCAGGTAGACCATATGCTTGTTTGCCACCTCTGTGGTATAAAAAAAAGACATGAGCATTAGCATGGACATAACAGAATATACTATTTAGCCCATGATACCCCCCATGCGTTACCAATTTTGAGGAGTAAGGTATTTTTTTTTAATGGGTGATAATGGAATGGTATCCCCACCCGGCGCTATTGGTATACACCGGCGGGGCACCAGTGAAGGATGATAGGTGAGGATGAAGCAGGTCAGTTAGCCCATTGTGACGAATTTAACAAGAATTGTTCACGATGGTTTCCAGGAGGAACCACGTGGAGGTCGACCTAATAGGGCATATTGCTAGTAATGGGGCTGTCAAACTCCATTGCTAACGATCCCTTTCCCCCCGGAGTAAGGTATTATGCCTCTGTACCCTGTAAATTCACTGCCACATCCCACCCTTCAAACCGAAACACAGCCATGCAAACACAGCTGCTTCACGGTTGAAACACGAATGGGACAGAGGTTGAGAAGAGACAGCAAGAAACTCAACAGTGACTCTTTTAAATTTATATCTAACTTTATTTATTTATTTATTTATTACATCCACTATCAATCATTCCCACTCACAAATAGACGTAAGCGCCTCAAAACATGTTTTACATTATCTTTTTATTGGTTTGACCTTCGTACAAACGAGTTTAATAGCATCCATCTGGTTACTATAATTATAAGAATGATATACACGATATAGGGTTGGGTAATATATAGAAATATATATATATTACCAATATCTAATATATATATCATCATCATCTTCCTACCCTTATCCTAATTATTATTTGGGGTCGGCGTAATATGATTTTATCCATATTATCAAAGGATTTAGCTTATAGTTTTACGACCGACCGCCTGCCTGACGTCAACCCTCTTCGACCTGGTTGGGTATATTGCTAGCAATGGGATTCTCAGTCTCCATTACTAACAATCCCTTTCCCCCCTACACACACACTACCTATTTATTATACATAATAAATTTTACATTATACATAATACATATAGGACAAATACATGTAATAAATCATATAGGACGAAAAACTACTCGGTTACAAGGCAAACGACAGTATCAGACAAAGCAGTGTCTAAAATATGACTTTATATTGAATTCTAAATAAAATGAACATAGTTGATCCTTGAATGCTAATTTACTTGAGCAGATCTATTAGCAAAGAGTAAAGATTTCCAGTGCTTGATAGCCTGAATGGCGAAAGAATTGGAGGAAAAGCCAGTGCAGCGAACAGGAACATGTAGCAGGAGATTTAGAGAGAAAATATCTGACCGGTATGCGTGACCGCAATAGCTGATGTCATTTTAATAGAGGAACTCAATATAAAGGTATTGGAACGTTACTGACGCTACCCATGCCTAATCACGATATCGGGGGGGGGGGGGAGAAAGGATTGTTAGCAATGGAGTTTGACAGACCCATTGCTAGCAATATGCCCTATTAAGTCGACTTCCACGTGGTTCCCCCTGGAAACCATCGTGAACAATTCTTGTTGAATTCATCACAATGGGCTAACTGACCTGCTTCATCCTCACCTATCATTCTTCACTGTTGCCCCGCCGGTGTATACCGATAGCGCGGGTGGGGTTACTATTCCATTATCATCCATTAAAAAAAAATCACGATATGGACAATAGTTTTTGGATGCCTCAATATAAGTCTGGTTAAAATTAACTTTTCGAATAATTTTTTTTATGGTACTTAAAATAGCAAACAAGCTGACGTCCTTCCTGATGGAAAGTGATAACCGTCGCCTAAAGACATGAGCAGTACCATGGACATAACAGAGGAGTATACATGTACCTAAAACAGATTTTTTGTGGAAGCAATTGGAGTGTGCTAAATGTTACCACAAGCCACTATAATATAATAAATTTATGTTAAATTCGTATAAATTACAAGCTATATATATGCAATTATACAGGGTGGAAGAGAGAGGACAGACTGAAACAGGTTCCCAAACTTATTTTGTCTACTGCCCACTTTGAGAATAAATTATTTTTTAGCGCCCCCATTTATTTACCTACTTAAATACCACTATTATTTCGAGATCGACAAATCACCCCCCAAGCCTCTACACAACGGCCCCATTTTCTATGTCTCTTACTGACCCCCTTTAGGCCTGCAGCGCCCACATTTACTGGGCGTTATCGCCCACTTTGGGAAAGGCTGGACTAAAACAAAAACGGTTGATTCCAATAAATAGTCTGAATCAGATGACAGATTATTTTTCCATCGGTAATGCCCCACAGCCATATAATCAACGATTCTTAGTTTTGACACCAATGTATTTGAAATTTTACGATCCACCAAAAACGCAAGGAGCTTCTTCGTAGATAGTTTTCGTAAGCTTATGGCGTCTTGTGACCTTACACAGCTGATTTCGCGCGTCCTCTACGGGAAAGCTTAAGCAATCGTTATAAAATTTGGTATTCACGTATTATATCGGATCGATTAGGATATAGGTTATTTTTTATGCCAGATAGTAAATATGGGATATGGTCTTGCCGACGAAATCGCGGGTAAAAGCTAGTAAATCTATAAAAAGATGGAGTTTCTCAATCCGTTTCCATGTTTTTTTTTTTTTGTTAGATGCTAAATAACTATGTAAATATTTATTTTAATTTCTGTCTTGCACTACTACTGCCCACTCACTACTTCCTATGCCACTGCGTTAGGTTGACTGGAAGAGATCTCTTTTAGAGATAAGTTCACCTTTGCTAACATTGTTATTAACTTATTGCTGTTACTGTATGTTTTAGTGCAATAAAGAATCATCATCCACCAGAGGGAGACTTTGTACAAAAGTCGATTGCTTGGGTACCTCTGTCCCATTCGTGTTTCAACCGTGAAGCAGCTGTGTTTGCATGGCTGTGTTTCGATTTGAAGGGTGGGATATGGCGTGAATTTTTTTTTTTCAATTCGTTTTCCCACCTATCTTTTGTATCAGGAGGCTGCAGTTCTGACAGTGCGTCAACTTTATATACTTAAAATAGTAATTATGCACCACAAATCTCCTCTCCTCCCGCAAAAACCTTCGGACCAGAGAAGGCGCAAAATAATCATCCCTCGCATTAATACTGCATTTGCAAAGCGCTTTAGTTATTATTCGTGCCCATTTATATATAAAAAACTTAATAATCCCTGCAAACTGGATGGTCTGAACAATGCGGAAGCTAAACATAGGATACAAGGATATTTACAAAATCTTGATTACGATGCCACAGAATTAATATTATATACCATTTATTGATATTCGTATATAGTAGTGTATGTCTTTAGTATATTTAATTGTATGTATTTATTTACGTAATATTAGAGTATTTACATAATTTTCTGTTTTATGCGCATGTCTTCACGAAGCACTTCATTTTAACTTTCTTAAAACTGGCTTAGTATTTTAATTTAATTTATATTTGTAAACCACCGTGTCTTGGTAATCTCATATGGACTCCCGATACAGGTTCTCCTAGTGCGGGGTCCAATGTACTCGCTGTTGTAATTTTTTTTTTGTATTTAATAAATAAATAAATAAATAATAAATTTACTGGGTACAGAGGAATAACACCTGAGTCCTCAGGAATGGCAACGCATGAGGGGTATCATGGGCGAAACAGTATACTCTGTTATGTCCACGGTACTGCTCATGTCTATAGGCGACGGTTACCACTTTCCATCAGCTTGTTTGCCATTCTAAGTCGTATAAAAAAAAGTTATAAAATTATTATTTTTTTTTTTATTTGAAAGGTACTTACAGATGGGTCCAATGTGAAATTTTATCAAAATCGATTCAAGTTTCGTTTTGAAATCAGAATAACTGGTTTTATCTCAATTGAAGTTGTTTTTTTTTTTAATCTTAAATTATGTTTTTCTTTATACAGGGTGCTACAACGTATACTCCAAAGCCTGTCACTGAGCTCCGAGCTAGAGGACCTTCAGCACGTGCTGTTCGTGCTCATCTGCGAGCGAGTACTCTCACAGAAGCCTTCAGTTTTTGCGCAACAATTCGGTAGGAGTTGACGTCTTTTGCTTTTTTAATTTTTTACACTATGTGTCTTGAAATAAAAACTATTTTATCAACCGATTTGATCGAGTCCTCAGGAATGGGGGTATCATCGGCGAAACAGTACTGTTATGTCCACGGTATTGTTCATGTCTATAAGCTACGGGTACCACTTTCCACCAGGTGAGCCGTCAGCTTGTTTGCTATTCTAAGTTGCTTAAAAAAAAAGCTATATGGGATGGATGTACACTTTTTATACTGATCTGTAAACATATTGCGGTCACGCAGACCAAGTCGCGCGTAAATCTTAGTAATAAATTTAATAATCCTAAAACGCCTTCTATTCTCCAGGCTTGAACTTGCTAAAGGAGGCCGCTCTCCGCTGCTACCGGCGACCTCTTCTAACTAGATACCTGGTGCAGTGCATACGTATCGCCATCAAACTGGACCCGTCCCTCGTCAGCGGGAAGAGTACAGTGTTCCACGAGGTGAGTTAATGAATAAAAAGTCCTGCAACGCCATTTTTCTAAAGCTGTCTCTTAAGCGTTATTTTAAATTGATAATTTCGCAAAATTACTGTCTTATTTTTTTGTTTTATTTATTTATTTATTTTTAGATAACTTGGATCCATTTTTGTTAGTAAGTGTACTTAAAAACTATGTTAATACTTAATCACTTAATACTTAATTTACTGGGTACAGAGGAATAATACCCGAGTCCTCAGGAATGGCAACGCATGGGGAGTATCATGGGCGAAACAGTATACTCTGTTATGTCCATGGTACTGCTCATGTCTATAGGCGACGGTTACCGCTTTCCATTAGGTGGGCCGTCAGCTTGTTTGCCATTCTAAGTTTAATAAAAAAAAAATCACTTATAATGATCTAGTCCTCTCGGCGAGCACTCTCACGAGAGGACCATCCAATTTATTAACAAACATGTTCAGGATACTGTTGCTACTCCCGCGTATTCGACGTAAAAACGAAGCTGTCTCTTTACGCCAGACTGCGTCAAAACTATCTGTGCGAGCGTCGGCAAACATCGCTGAGGCGCTACAGAAGCGCGGGAGCCGCAACAGCAACCTGAAACTATTATTGATCCCGACATGGAATGGGCCACCCCTTCCTTTCCCATAATTGCCGTAGGAGGCGACTAAGAGAACTTAATGGTCGAAGGATAATCAGCAGCGTTTCTCTTAAAACACTACCAAAGGCTAACTGCCATTGCCAACCTACTTGCCAAGCGTCGCAAATACTGGCAAATCCCCATATGGTGAAGGGTTATGGTTAGCAGTGTACAGTTGACAGCTGCAATGATGGAGACTTTGTATAGAAGTCGATTGCTTGGGTACCTCTGTCCCATTCGTGTTTCTACCGTGAAGCAGTTGTGTTTACAAGGCTGTGTTTCGGTTCGAAGGGTGGGATATGGCGTGAATTTACTGGGTACAGAGGAACAACACCTGAGTCCTCAGGGATGGCAACGCATGGGGGGTAGGTATCATGGGCGAATCAGTATACCCTGTTATGTCCATGGTCTTGCTCATGTCTATAGGCGACGGTTACCACTTTCCATCAGGTGGGCCGTCAGCTTATTTGCCATTCTAAGTTGTATAAAAAAAATGATGATGATGATTTAATCGTAACTCTTCAAGCTCATTTATTTGATATTCATATAAACTGGGTTGACAAAATGTACGCCATCCGCCATCTTGTAGTGACGGCCATTTTGAAAATATTGTAATATTGAACGTATGACCCGCTTGATAGGCTTTTAGAGATGTTTTATGATTAACGATGAAGTAAAATGCTTAAATTTCAAAATGGCCGCAACCACAAGATGGCGGATTGCATTATGAAAGTTTTTTTTTTTATTATTATTATTTTTTTATTAGGTGGACGTGCAAGGCGACACTTTACTGATCGCGTGTGTCCGCATCGGTGATGCAGCCGCTGACGTGTTGAGCGAGCTGGTTCGAAGAGAACACGATCAGTTACCTCTGTTCAAGATACACCACGTCAACACTGATGGTGAGACCATCATAAATCAACGTCATTATAATCTCCTTTCTAATTAATATTAATGTGGAAGTAAATATTTGTATTGTTACCTCTTACCTGTAGTAATCACTATGTAATTTAATATATATGTACTATATTGAATGGAAAAGAATATAAACTGTACATAAGCATACTTACCGCTGATAGAGATATCAATTATGCGGTTTATACATTTTAATTTATTGAAATATTGTCTTCAGGTTTATCCGCGCTGCATGTCTGCTGCGTGGAACACTCGGCCGAGTCGCCCCGTCTCCACGTTGCGCACGTACTCCTGCAGCACGCTGACGCTGACATATGGAAGGGGGTGAGTCCATATACCACCCCCCCTTTTTTTAGTCTTATTATTTTTCTGTCACAGCTTGGCCAGACAATTTTAATACCTCTCCATCCTATGGTTGTCTGGAAGAGATCGCTATTCAGCGATAAAGTCGCCCATTGTTACCTTTTTATCTTGCTTTCATGTAATTATTTGTTTTGTTTGTGTTTTTATAATCTGTATCGTTCTTTAAACAATAAAGGGTTTTCATTCATTCATTCATTCAAACTCACCTTTATCTAGCTTTGGTGTGAACGCTCCTTTACAATTTTTTTTTTCTTATATTGCCAGAACAATAAAAGCGGCGACACAGCGCTCCATCTAGCGGTGAACTCGCGCAACTGCGACCTGAACCTTATCATGTTACTGTTCAGGCACGTGGACCGGAAACTGTGGAAGAAACTCGCACATACACCCAACATGTGGTAAGTTGACATTCGTTTTGGCGGGAAAAGGTTACTGTCAACTTTTTTTTTCTCGATACGGCAAACAAGTTGATTAAACAGTTACGTAACAGTTTTTTTTTTTTTTTTTATTTAGATAAAAACTAGAGAATTAAAATCCCTTTTCGTTTATGTTTCACGAGGACTCATTTCGACTGTATAGTACGTCATTTTTATTTCGTTGTCAGTGTTCGTTAGTGTTGTGACTTAGGTAAAAATTGTCACTCGGTGGATGCTATGTAATGTTTAGGGAGGGTAGAGAGGTGGGGTACAAAATAATGTTACGGCGCGTTAGATGGAGGGGAGGGTCAAAAATTTTAACAATTGCGTTACGTAATACTAGAACGTCCCCTGTGGTAAACGATGTTGATGATAATATTTTCCTTTATTAATACTTTATGTTATTCTTTACTTTATCATTGTTAGTTTACCCAAATACCATATTTTTAATTTACCAGAGGGAGACTTGTACAAAAGTCGATTGCTTGGCTACCTCTGTCCCATTTGTGTTTCAAACGTGAAGCAGTTGTGTTTGCATGGCTGTGTTTCGGTTTGAAGGGTGGGATATGGCGTGAATTTACAGGGTACAGAGGAATAACACCTGAGTCCTCAGGAATGGCAACGCATGGGGGGTATCATGGGCGAAACTCTCTCTGTTAACTACCGCATAGAGGGTATCATTATACTCTGTTATATCCATGGTACTGCTCATGTATATAGGCGACGGTTAACACTTTCCATCAGATGGGTCGTCAGCTTGTTTGCTATTCTAAGTTGTATTAAAAAAAGTGGTAAAAAAAATTTTCCAGAGTAACCTCATAATGAAGTCCGTAAGTTTTTTAATCGCTCAATTTGGATAAGATCAAGAACGTTACATATCCTTAATTTTAAATTTCGAATACCTAATTAGTTTTTAAATATTCTCTAATTAAAACGGCTAGACAGATAATAGAATAACGTTAGTTCAAACCAGACCCATAATTTAAAATTGACATTCCTATTTCAAATTATTAGCCAACACGAAATAGATAAATTGTTACGGCCATGTTTTTTTATCATATAAGAATTTCAATACAAAATATTACACATATGATTTAATCTTCCACAGCTCAAGAACACCTTTAGATTACGCCCGCGAAGCTACACGATCTCAAACTCGACAAAATCATCCATACGAAGTGCTAGAATTCCTTCAGAAATGTCGTAATTAATTAAAGGTGTATGTAATATAATAAATTGGATTTATTAATTGATGTTAAAACAATAGAAAACCTATCTTCGTAGCGAATGGTTAAACCATTCCGCGGCGGAAGCTTTTAGAACGAGATCTTTTTACATTTAGGTCCATGCGTGATCTTTTGTCGGCTGTGTTAAAAAAAAATACTGGGATGTAGGTAACCAAATATGTTACTTGGAATTTGAATAATTTACTCATATGAACATACAAGAATAAAACTGCGCTATAAAATAAACTAATTGTGCATTTTGCCGGTTTCTTTACCCAAATGTGTAAAAAAATATAACTGTCAAAATTGGCGCCATTCTACATAGTCTGTGGTCATGTTACCTTGTAATTGTTACTTTTTGGCTGACGGCTTTCGCCAAAGTCACAATAAATGAAAAAAAAAAGTCTGTGGTCATACACTACGTAGAGTAAAAGTAGGCGCCAAATTTGTTGATCATAATTTAGGTTATTTGATTTTAAGCGGTGGATCTTCCATTATGTATTCAATTCACTAATTGAAATTGCTTTAAGAATTTTAGTTGTATCGAGTACTGTTGCATGTTTTTACTTTTTAATGTTGACTTTTGTGTCAAGTTGTCACTCTAGTTGTATATTTTTTTCATAAGTACACAGATATAAAAAAAAAATTAAGAATAAAAATAATGTATTTGTTGACAATTAAAACTGGAAACGATCTGTGCAATGGCACTGATCGTTTACAATTTACAATGTTATTTTTATTCTTTTTTTTTTTATAAAGATTATATTATATTTGCTGAAACAATGAATAGTAATGAATTACTATGAAATTGCTATTTGAGTCACCAGACACTACATTGATTAAATTGTAATTATTTTGTCTGTATGAAACATTTCTTTGGTTGTGTTTATGTTCTAGTGTCTTTTTTTTTTTTACATCGTTACTTTTTTTTAAAATAGGTATAAGTACTGTTTCATTTACAAAAAGAGAATGCAGATACTATTCTTAATCTATGATTTCTTATTCATATTTTTTTTTATGGTTGACAATAAGGAACGCCACATGTTGTATGTTTATGACAATAAATATTTTTTTAGAGCTTAAGGACATTACTAATTTGTATATACGAGTCGAGTATTTAAGTTAATACATCATTATAGTCGTTCCAAACTACGTCCAAAAATGTTAAAAACATTTCGCTCCGTTACACAGAATAATTCATACAACTAGTCCCACTTTATATCCCTTAAATGAGATATAAATACGAATTAATTCTTATTTAATGCATATAAAATATAACACATAAACGGATGACCTCTGTATACGTGCAATCTGAACATTTTGTTTTGCATTTTTAAACAATCGTGTAAATCACAGAAGAAGGTGCAATCAACTTGAGTGAGACCATAAACGTATAAAACTCTAAAGTATGTTACAATCAGAGTGACAGAGAATAGTACTTATGTTGTTAGTATAACGTTACATCCTTAGATTAAAAACAAAGCGTCAATAACGGGTCAACTTTTTTATAATAAAAAAAAGAGTTAGCTAATTTGACTTCATTATCTTTCTCTCTCTCTCTAGCTCTTTATTAGTGTTCTATATACTGACACTTCGACGTGTCTATATTTATTTAAAATGAAATAAAAAAAAGAGCGAAAATTAGAACTAATAAAGAAATCATTTATAACCGGTAAATATCTTCAATTTTAAGCATAAAGATATCTAGAAATATATTTGTAAATATTCACAATCTTTTTAGAGAAATCGCGCCATTTTTAGTGTTGCAATTATACGAAAAACTTCCCCTCAAGTGAATTAAAATTCCCGAAATGAGGTGTATTTTTTTTTAATAAGAATTATTCAATTGTTATTTTGTCATTATTATTTGTATTGTATGCTTTTTTTTTTTTTTTTTTTTTTTTTTTTTTGAATTTTTACTAATAATTTTTTAAGGTACGATTCCCCTTACCATATTTATCTTAATCTCAAGTATTAATTTCTAATCTGGTAACACTGTCTCGTATAAAATTGTATAAAAAAGTTGACCCGCTTTTTTTTAAGCATTTGTACGAAGACACTATATGAAGGTTACATCTTTTATGAGACAGAACCAGTAATGACAGACATTATTGGACCTACTTACAAATTAGATTGAGATTATCATCAGATTTATTTTAATCATGAACAAAATCATCATACGTAATATAGAAGTAAGCAGCACGAAATATTTTTTACGTTTTAGTTATAGTTTTGTACAATTGTTGTAAATTTAAAAACTCTGCATACGCGCTATATACGATTCTTAATCTAAGACAAAAAAATTAAGAACTAGTCGCTACATGCGACTCTTTATCTATGACAATGCGTTACTAGGTTTTAAGTCGATAAATAAAAAATCTATGCAGTTGTTTATTACGAATGTTATGAAAAGTCAAATTATATTGTGGCGATAGTTACTGCGTCGATTCTATATTAAAGTTACTTTAAAACGGTCCTTAGAATAATGTTTGCATAATATCTAAATGAAATTTTACCTTTAGAAATGAGGAATACGTTTTATAATCGACTCCAGTATAATTTAGTTGCCATTTTCTATGAAACCTTGTCAGTCACAATAAATACTTAACACGAATTTCTTTGTCATTTCATTTTGACATCTTTGTCTTATTTTTGAGGATAATAAATATGAATAAAAAGCTAAATTATGTGAAATAGCAAACTGTTAATTACCACTGTCTATATTTCTAGCTATGTTTCCTACAAGTGCCTATAATATTGACAGAGCTGTACAAATTAAAGATTTAGTACCGTGATAAATAGAACTCAATAACAATGGTTACAATGTTTTAATAAAAATGTCACAGTAATAAAATTAGTAAACAATAAAAACATTGAATAAACTAAAAGAATTTTAAATCGTATTTTTGAAATTAGCATACTGTCTTGTAGTCGGATTTTGATTTTGGAACTAGTGGCGGGTAACATATAGCGATATCTATATATTTCAACTTAAATATCTATATACCGGTCCAATAACGAATATATTGAAAGTCTGTTATCCAAAAAATAATATTAGTTAACAGACTTTTAATATATTCGAAAATAGATATCCGACCGATATAAATGATGACCTTTTTCCCGCCATCAATATCCAGTAGCGTCCAATATATAAATATCGTATCGGTTTCCATATTAGCCGTGCCTAATTCAAACATACCATAATAACGATTGATGTACTTAGAATTTATTAAAAAATTGTAACCTTTTTAAAAAATGCGAATTAAAGAAATCAGATAAAACTGTCATTGTATACAATGCTTAATTATAATAAATAACAGTAATTTGGATTAAGAAATATTATTCAAAATTGATCTCTTTCACTGTGCATTAGGATCTGATCATGTTTTAGATTAATTGTACAAAAAGGTCCCACCATTGTGATTTTTATTTGTTAAAATTTCCTGATAATATCAAAGATGTAAATTTAGAATAATGCTGTTTATTTTATTATAATCAAATCAAGAAAATTGTTGTTTATTAAAAATATAGATAACATAAAAAAATAATAATTGCTTCATTTCGATGAAGTTATTTATCTATGCTGGGTACAGCAAATCTGTTTTTTTTTACGACATCATTATCTGTGGATCGGTGCACTAAAGGCGGGAGAATATTTTCCACCATATTTAAAAATGTTAGCTGTACACTTATTATTCATTATATTTTTTCTTTATTGATGTTTTAAAAATATTTTTGTATTGTAAATAGCATGTTAGTTGTTAAGAGTTTTTAGAATATCGAAAATAAGGTAGATTATAACTTTTTTTCATGTCATAAAAAAGGACATCATTAAGTTTTTCTTTTTTTTTTTTTGTAAAAATAAAAATGAAATTAGGAATGCAAATTTATATTTTTTAAAGTAATGAGCAATACTTAATAGGCTTGGGTAATTTAAACTGTATATAGTCGCAATATATGTATATTGGTGAAAAATTATAAATCTATATATAGACGAGGCAAACAAACTGTATATTAGATATTATCTGTTACAAGTAACATGCCTCTTTTTGACACCGTTCTGCGGCCGACTGCGACGTAGCTGTTCGAATCGGCCCGGTCAATATCCAATATTGCACTCAACTCGATACACTGATACATGCGAACCGAATCAGTAACCGATACGCACGTATTTATCGCGTATAGTATGATATTGGCCGGGGCAATTCACCGCTACGACTCGATTCGTAATAGGGGACATCTGGATAAGACAAGACTAGACAAAATAACGATAACGAGTTAATAATATCCGATATAGACGTTGTTAATATATAAAAGATTCGATTTAAATGAATCATGAGTGCGTGAATAGGTACGAAACTACGGTGTATGTATTTGAATATTAAAATGAATGGACGTTCTAAGCAAACTGTCGACTAAAAGAAACATGTATGACCATTTATTTCTTTCTGTATGTATCAACTATTTAATGTAGAATAAAATGATTTTTAAACATTTTTCTTGAGTTATTGAAATAAAATCAAAGGTATATAAAAGGGGTCGTTTTGTTTGGTGTCCACCCTAGCAGTTTTAGGCGTTACGAAATACCTAAATATATAGTTTGAATGTCTCTAATTCAAGTCAAATTGAATAACCAGTACTAATTCAATATTGCAAAAAAAATATTACCTAAGCCTAATATTTTTATTTCACTGTATTTTTTTTTATTCTTAATTTCTGCTCTCTGTAAAATAGGCAGGCACAGTCTATATTTCCGTTGTATAAAAAAAGCACGTTATTTTCACTTCACTACTCTATCATTGCTCCAGTGTATATATATATTTTAAATTTATATATTTTTTATATATTAATAACGCGAGTACGTGACATACCTCGGACAATATTTCTATGAAAACCATTTGTTTTATACATGATTTGTTTTATCATAAATAAAATTTTGTTGTAACGTTGCTTCTTTGTTTTTTTTATTTTATATCTTTATAATATAAAAATCGCAAAATTTTGTGAATGTATTTTTTATATATATATTTTAATGGTTGATAATGGAATGGTAACCCCGTCTTCGCTAACGATGTACACTAACGGGCCACCAGTGAAGGATGATAGGTGAGAATGAAAAGGAAGGTCAGTTAGCCCATCGTGATGTATATGTTACAGTCTGTATGCTTTAGCCAATAATACTTTTGACTAAAATAACAGTTAAATCGAACCTAACCGCAAATTTGCAGTCATAAGTACTAATAACCAATAATTTTCAATCGAAACCACTTGACCAACCTGTTCAGCCATAAGTAGTTTTGACTGATTTTGCTAGTCAATAATAATTTTGACTGGTTAAGAGTTTTGACTGCAACATATACACGTGAAATTCAACACGATGGTTTCCAGGAGGGACCACGTGAAGGTCGACCTGACAAGGTATATTGCTAGTAATGAAACTGATAGTCTAATAGTGTGTATTGTTTTTTTTTTTTACAACACAGGGGGCAAACGAGCATGCGGCTCACCTGATGGTAAGTGACTACCGCCGCCCATGGTCACCCACAACACCTACGGCATTGCAGGTGTGCTGCCGGCCTTTTAAAAAGGAATATGCTCTTTTCTTGAAGGTTATGTTGTCGTATCGGTTCGGAAATACTGCTGCTGGAAGTTGATTCCAAAGAGTGGTTGTGCGTGGAAGAAAGTGCCTTGAAAAACGCACGGTGGAGGACCGCCACTCGTCGAGATGGTTGGGATGAAATTTTAGTTTATGGCGGGTTGTACGATGGTGAAAATCTGCAGCAGGTATCAATCCGAACAATTCTTCAGAGCACTCCCCATGATAAATTCGGTAGAGATGCACAGTGATGCAACATCTCTACGCAGTTTCAGTGGGTCGAGCCGGACAGTAAGACGCCGATCGTCAACAATTCGAGCTGCCCGACTTTGAATGCGGTCTAACGGAAGGAGTTGGTACTGTGGCGCTCCTGCCCACAGGTGAGAACAGTATTCCATGTGTGGCCTCACTTGAGCTTTATACAGTTTCAGGCGGTTTTCTGGCGTGAAATACCGTCTCACCCTATTGAGCACCCCCAACTTTTTGGAAGCTATCTTAGCTTTTTCCTCCAGATGACCGCAAAACTGGACGTCGCTAGATATATCGACGCCAAGAATCCCCAGACTCGACTTATTATCAAGGGAAGTGCCCTGAAAGTGAGGTGATACGACAAACGGTGTCTTTTTTGCGGTGAACGCGCAGACTTGTGTCTTCTTAGGGTTAAAGTGAACAAGATTGCGTTCACCCCAGATCGAAACTTTATCGAGTGAAGTTTCGATTTCAGACACAAGTCTGTTCCGGAGCTCATCGGTATGTGCCCGCGAGATCTTTGCATGACCGGTGTATAATGCATCTCCTGTACTGTCGTCCGCATAACAATGAATATCACTGATCTGTAACATATCATTGATATACAGAAGAAACAGTGTCGGAGATAGTACACAGCCTTGCGGGACACCAGCATTCACAGGTTTTAAGTCAGAGCATGCTCCGTCGACTACGACCTTAATGCTACGTTCCTTAAGAAAGCTGGCGACCCAATTGCACAATTTCGCAGGCAACCCAAATGAAGGTAGTTTTGAGATTAGTGCCCTATGCCACACCCGATCAAAGGCTTTCGCAATATCCAGACTAACAGCTAAGGCCTCTCCCTTATTCTCGATTGCCACTGCCCATCGGTGTGTTAAATAAACTAAAAGATCACCAGCCGAGCGTCTCCGTCGAAAGCCGTACTGGCGGTCTGAGATCAGCTGGCGATCCTCTAGGTACCGGAGCAGTTGATGGTTAATAACTGATTCCATGACTTTCGAGAATAAGGAAGTGATAGCTATGGGCCTATAGTTAGCTGGATCTGAGCGGTCTCCTTTTTTAGGGATCGGATGCACCAAAGCAGTCTTCCAAAACTTTGGGACTATACCTGATGAGTAACAGAGCCGAAAAAGACGCGTAAGAACCGGAGCCAACTCTGGTGCGCACGTCCTTAGCACAATTGGAGGAATGCCATCGGGCCCGCTCGACTTATGGATATCAAGGGAGAGAAGTGCTCTACGCACTGATCTTTGCGTGAATTTAACATCCGGCATAGAGCTCCTACAACGCGGGATGGTCGGCGGTAGTTTCTCCCCGTCAACCAACGTCGAATTTGATGCAAAGAGAGATCCAAGGAGATCGGCCTTCTCTTTGGCGTTCAGAGCCAACGAGTTATCCTCCCTGCGCAATGGTGGAAAAGATGACTGACAGAAATTCCCTTGTGCAGCTTTGGCAAGAGACCAGAAAGCTCGAGATCCCGAAGGTAAACTAGCCAATCTCTTGCCAATTCTACCAATATGCTCTGACTTCACTGTGGCCAAAACTCTTTTGAAGGACCTAGAGGCAAAGTTATACTTCTTTTTAAGGGCACTGATGTTAGGATCTCGCGATGCCACACCTTTGGCCCAGGCTAGGAAGCACTCCTGTTTCAGGCGAGATGCTATTCTACAAGAGGCTCCATACCAGGGCTGGGATTTCCCACCGACAGGTACCACAGAGTTAGGAATAAATAATTCCATTCCCTGAAGCACCACATCGGCGATGGAATCGGCGATGGCGTTGGGATCCCCCAGTGCGAAGCAAACCTGCCTCCATGGGTAAGATGCGAAAAAAATCCGCATCTCATCCCAGTCTGCCGACCTGTAGTGCCAAACACGACGTCTACCCGTAGAACGTGGTGGAATCGGACTCATGAGAGGCACCTCGCTCCGCACCAGACAGTGATCCGACGATCCAAGCGGAGCTTCGACGGAAATCACATAGTTGTCTGGGTGGGTGGTCAGCAGAAGGTCCAGCAGTGAAGGTGTATGGTCCAACACATCAGGTATTCGCGTGGGCGAGGAAACAAGCTGCGTCAGACCATAAGCCAAAGCAAAGTCATGAACAGATCTTCCCGCATAGTCGGTTGTACGTGAACCAAGCCATTCGGTATGGTGGGCATTAAAATCGCCAAGAATCACGACTTCAGCGGAAGGAATCTGTTCGAGCAGGGAATCTGTAGCCATTTGGACGTGCTCAATGAGTTGGTCGGTTTCGATGTTACCGCTTTTTTGCTACGCCTTGACAGTTTTAATCAAAGTCATCTGAACCGTCAGAGGGTTTAGAGGTTAGGTGGTGGCCTCGGGGCGGACCCTTTTGCCTCACCTTCAACTCCAAGGGTGACTACCCCCGAGTCCGGGTCCATGCCTCCTGGTGATGAGGCGTGGTCTTTGTTGTGTTTCAGTGATATGAGAATGGATCACATCTTCTCTTACAGATTTTTTATCCCAATAAGTAAAAATGGACCCAGATGGCGGTAGCGGGTACAAGATTTGCCATTGTAGATTTAATAACAGATGAAGCAATAGATATGTATAAGTAGCAACGGAAAATTTTTAATATGCAAACTGCATCTCTATAGAATCTGTGGGAGCAATAACAACATCCTAATTTCAGAGGAAACCGGCTGTTTACTCCAAAGGGAATGAAATTCCATGCATCGTTATGGGCCCAGGAAAAATTGTAGGTAGACATAGATATAGGAAAATATATAAAGTAAATAAATATTATCTCTTAGTAACTGAGTTTTTTCTCTGTTAAGTACTAACACATAAATTGTAGCCCGAAATATTATTAAATCATATTATGACACTAATATTTTAAGGCATGAGTAATATCGATACCGTTCCAATATGTATATATTGGGGGGAAAGGGATTGTTAGTAATGGAGACTAAGAATCCCATTGCTAGCAATATACCCAACCAGGTCGACCTCCTCGCGGTTCCCCCTGGAAACTATCATGGTTAATTCCTGATGAATTCATCATGATGGGCTAACTGGCCCGTTTTCATTCTCATCTATCACCTTTCACTGGTGCTCCGCCAGCGTATCCCGTTAGCGCACAGGCGGGGTTACCATACCATTTCCACCCATAAAAAAAATGTATATATTGGTTGATTAGACATCGACTTGATATTGCTAATTTTTTTATGCAACTTAGAATGACAAACAAAGTAACACCCCACCTGTATGTACTCACATTAATTAACCAAATTTATACCGTTTTGAACGAAATTTGGTACACAGTTAAGCCATATTCAAACATAAAATACCCTATATACTTATTCATGCAAACAAAGCCGTGGGTTACAGTAAGTTTTGGATAAATAAAACTACAAGTTAAGAGTCGTAGCTTTTTATTCTCTCATATGAGATTTCAGTACTACATGCAGCTCGCACTGTGTCCATTGTATAAAATGTAAGTAACACTGACATTGCTCGTAAAAAACCACTGATGAGTAATATCCAATATATATATAGAGTTCTTCTGATCACCCATTGCAATATCGACCATACCAGTCTGATTATATATATATATATATATATATATATATATATATATATATATATATATATATATATATATATATATATATATATATATATATATATATATATATATATATATATATATATATATATATATATATATATATATATATATATATATATATATATATATATATATATAGTACCCATAAAAAACAGTTTTAGTAATAAACTATCACTGATTACAAAATATACACTAGTTGACTGATGAATACGAATAAGATTATTGATTTTTTAAATCAAACATTATATTATAGATATTTTAAAATCAGATATTGCTTCGTACACATTTTTAAATCGATTTTCTCGATTGTCAATATATTAAGTTGAAATAATCGAAATAAACTATTCTTAACTAAGTTAAGTAACATGTAAACAATGATATTCGTTGACAATTTAAAAAAAAATATATCAATTGTTCCTTCATTTTATACATTATTTATAAAATAGTTATTTCGTATTGCCACTGAGGACTTACGAGAACATCAAACAATTATGTTGTCTCGCTCACGCATAATAAGTTGACATAGAGATAGTACCGATGTCAGATTTGTCCATTTCAATTTTGTAGCGTTCTCGTAAAAACCTCGGCGAGAATACGAAACAATAGACACAATGCGTTATAGACACTCACACTAAATCAAGCCAAGTGACTTAAATGCAGAATTGGATCGGCGATTCGACTTCAACTATGATTCATAGATATGTCATATTCGAGATAAAAATACAATTTAATTATAATAACTATAATACCATTATATGACTATTTCACTAAAAATAAATCACCCGCAAATACTAAATTCATATCAATGGAATTAATTAATAATAATAATAATAAATATTCATTGAATAATACGAATTAAAAACTGAAAGTTAAATCGCCGAACGCAAATTACAGTTTCAGACTATCTTACAAATTATATTCGGCTTCACTGTCTCATTGTTAAGATGTCTGCAGCTTTTAAAAACTGTTATTACAAAACTGATCTTAAAATATTCGATACGCCATGACGTTCGACGAGACATATCACAGAGATTGTGTACATTCTTTATCTATGGACATACAACCCAACGTCCATGCTGAATGAGCGAAGAGAATTAAAAAAAAATATAAGATTGAACAATTTTGTTTGCATTTGCTCAATGACAATTTTTTTTTTTCAATGTGGTATAATATAATGTAAAAATAAAATTTTCGCGCCTAAATGGTCCCAACATTACATTCTAAATTTAAATGCGATGGAATGAGAATGTAATGTGAATAGATTTGAATTTGATTTTAGAATATTAGGCCACCTCTTCGCTCATCAATGGACATTAGGAACGACATTCACGCATACAAATTGATAGAAAATCTTATGTTTTAAATAGATGCATAAGTTCTGTATGTGGGTGAAGACCAACCCATTCATAGAAACACACGACTAAAAAGCGAAGATAAAGAAAATCAAAGCAAAGGAAAATATACATACAGACCTTATGTGTTTAAAAATATTTTGTTTTTTTTTTTTCATATTTTTATTGACGTAGGTAGTATAGAAACTATGAAAAAATTACCTGAGATCATTTTTTTCTGTATTTTTTCAAGATTTATATATTTTTTTTTTCATTTATTCATTTATAGACTATAATTATTAGGAAATAAGTATCAATATTAGAATTACTATAAATAACACTACAAATAATTAGAAATAATATAATGCCAACATTTTTTTTAAGTATAAGATTTTTTCTGTTTCAACTCAATAAGGAGTTAGTCTGTCACTGGATATATTTTAATAACTACATATTTATAATACTTAAGTTATTGATAGATAATAGAAAAAAAAAAACTTCGGTGGATTTGATTTTTTTCACTTTTCTGTGTATAAAATATCGCATTCACACTATTAACACAAATAGAAGAAAAAATACCAAATACAAATGACAACTTTATGGTTGAGCATAGATTAAGAAATAATCTATTTTACAAAATTGTAATTCGTACGCAGCATTTTTAGACCAACAAATATTCAAAGAACTTACTCTATCAGAAAATATGGAATTTATCTTGTTGTTTGTTTGTTTACAAAAATCACAGTATGAAAGCTATGGTGTGCGGTGACGTCGATTGCTCCATAATGTTCAACACATTACACTTACAATATTATTACATTTACAATTAATAAAGCCACTGACAGAAAAAAAAAGGAACAATCGGCGTCGTAAAAAGAAAAAAATCCAATTCGAATCAATAATTTGACATTTAATTTTAGCCATTATCAAAATTACAATCAAATATTACAATCATGTATTTATATAATTTGAAAGCCCTATTCATTTTACATTTAACTTGACAGTTCCAAATGTAAAATTACCGATTCGAACATCATAATTACATAATACTTTTTTTTTTAATTTTTTTTTTAAACTGGTTCGACCACTTTAATTGCACCTTCATAAACTCAAAAGTCTACAAACTATAGATAACCTAATGCCCGCTCGACTCTTGAAATTCAACGCTCCTAAAAAATATCGGAATTTAAAATTTTAAACAAGGAACGACAATATCCATTGTGTTCTTTTTTCGAATTGTTACTCTTTTAATTCCGTAACTTCGCGCTAAAATGTTCGGATCACGGTATTTTGACTACTATTTCAAAAATGGGATCACACATACATCTACGCATATAAAATAATTAAAACAATGAAATAATGGGATGATAAAACGCGCCTTCCTTCACATTAGCTGCCTGATTAGTGAGAGATTTTTATTCTATGATTATTTTACGCAAAAAAAAAAAACTTAAATCAAAAGCTAGGCTCTTTAAACAATATTAATATAAATTTTACCACAGAATAAAAATCTCAGTTTGCCTAATTTCAAACATGTATTTCGGACCGATTGCTTCTATACTAAGGCACGCCATTCAATCAAACCATAGACAATTATTGCACTCAGACAAAAAAGCTTTCCCAATCGATGTTTCCATTGCACAAAATAAAATTATCAGTCAATACTTCCAAACATACTTCCAATACTACTACAAGAGATAATTTTCTTATTATGGCAAAAGAAGAAATCCATTCAGCTAAAATTTTTTAAAAGAAATGTAATAAACATCCGCCACGGTCACACTCACATACAGCCATAAGTTTTTGTCTATGGTTTGATAATTCCAACTTAAATATCAGCTTACAACTAGAAGGCGCGAGTGTTTGGTGTTCAGTTGTTGCAATACACTGGGAGTACGGGGCTTCGCGGCCAGTCGGAGGTTTCTTCGCTCTCACTGCTTTCGCTGCCGGATCTAAAATTAAAAATTTAATACTTAATTAAACTAATATGTACATTCGTCATTCTACATTTAGCGACTCAGCTAGTTATAATAATGTAAAGATTATAACTAATAAAAACAAAATACTAGGAAACATGGTTAAATATAATAATAATAATAAACATTTTATGTGAAATCTACTATACCAAACCGCATAGCCGGGCGACGTAGTACACGAATGAATTCCTCTGATTATTGAGACTCTCAGCAGTAACAGACTATTAAGTTATCAAGACGAGATATAAATTAAGACAAATAACAAATTGAGGTGAAGCAATGCTAAACCATTAACACCACTGAGGAAAATGATGGTGGCGAGTCAAGTTTCTTGGCAGTTCTCGACTGAATATACAGAACTGAATGGTACGGGTGGGTAATAATATAGAAATATATATATTCAATTTTTTTTTTTTGATGGGTCAAAATGGTATGATAACCCCGCCTGCGCTAATGGGATACACCGGCGGAGCACCAGTGAAGAGTGATAGATGAGAATGAAAACAGGCCAGTTAGCCCATCATGATGAATGCATCAGGAATTAACCATGATAATTTCCAGGGGGAACCGCGGGGAGGTCGACCTGGTTGGGTATATTGCTAGCAATGGGATTCTCAGTCTCCATTACTAACAATCCCTTTCCCCCCTATATATTCTAGTTAGAATATCCATATATTGACCTAGTTTCGGATATAAGAAAAAATAAAGACTATCCAATATATAATATAAATGGGAAACCCGATCAAATTGAGGAGCCAGGTGACGAACATCGAAAGGTACAAACAATCTAGAACACCCAAACCTGAGACAATTCAAAAAAGCACGTTCCTAAACTCCAAGGTTACTGGGAATCGAACCGGGACACCGGGAATGGAGGTCTTTCAAATATGTCCTATATGAATAATTTTGATTTCTTGTTGGTGACGATGATGATATTCCACATGGTTGAGGTGAAAAAGAATTGCTAACAATGGGGGCGTTAATCCCCATTGCTGGCAATTTACGCTGTCAGAAAGACCTCTGGTAACCATCGTGTCTTTATTCTCGTTGAATTCGCCACGACGGGACAACAGACCTGCTTCCATTCTCACCTATCAACCTTCACTGGTGCCCCGCCATCGTATACCAAAAACGCAGGCAGGGCTCCCATTATCATCCGTTTAAAACACCCACCTGGTTCTGTTGGGCGTCTGCTCGACGGCGAAGTGTTGCTCCTCTATGGTCGGCAGCAGAGAGGTCAGCCGGTCGGTCGGACGCAACACCTGCGCCAACAACAAACTATTAGTCGAGCAAAAACAATCATTACTCTAAAGCAACAACTATTATTCCTAGGAAACTAGTTATTCCTAAGAAACAATTCTTTAGGGTCGGCAACGCGCGCGTAATACCTAATAATATACAGCACTTTCATACCTACTTGTACAACAATTAGTCCATTACCCTAAGGTTGTCTTGTAAAGATTGCTCTCAGCAATAAGACCGCCTCACTGTACTTATACAACTGTATCGTTGTGTTTGTAAGTTGCCTTGCTTATTTCCTATATTGTATAATGCAAATATACTCATTCATTCATACCTCTGGTATTGCAGGTGTTCATAGGCTACGGTAATCGCTTACTATCAGGTGGGTCGTATGCTTGTTTGCCACCTCAGTGGTATAAAAAAAAACAATAGTTTTTTTTTTTTTAATAGCGAATGTTTGTAATATGTGCTGGTTCTTAGTATTTAATTATATTATTAAATACTATTATATTATTTATTATATTATATTGTAAATAAAATCACCGTCTGTTGACTTGAAGTATATTATGTATTTTTTGTTCTATTTGCAATTGTTTTATCAATTTTCTTTTTTATAAACTACAATTGTCAAAGTATATAAAAAGGTTAATTTTGAACAGGGAACATATAAATAATAAACACAGCCATAACATAATACCAGTGAAGCTTCCACAATACACTAACAAGCAGACGATTAATATGAAAAAATATATGACAATACAAAAAAAAAAAGGTAAGAAATATAATAATAACAATTATTAAAACAGTTTTTTTTTTATACAACTTAGAATGGCAAACAAGCTGACGGCCCACCTGATGGAAAGTGGTAACCGTAGCCCATACACATGAGCAGTACCATATTCCATACACCAGAGGGAGACTTTGTACAAAAGTCGATTGCTTGGGTACCTCTGTCCCATTCGTGTTTCAACCGTGAAGCAGTTGTGTTTGCATGGCTGTGTTACAGTTTGAAGGGTGGGATATGACGTAAATTTATTGGGTACAGAGGAATAATACCTGAGTTCTCAGGAATAGCAATGCATGGGGGGTGTCATGTATAGTGGGCGAAACAGTATACTCTGTTATGTGCATGGTACTGCTCATGTCTATAGGCGACGGTTACCACTTCCCATCAGGTGGGCCGTCAGCTTGTTTGCCATTCTAAGTTGTATAAAAAAAAAAAACAGTTATTCTTAGGAATCGATAATTATTTCATTATTATAACAAAAATTGCTTGTTGTTTTTGTTTGCACCTTGAGCGTCCGCTCGGAGAGCCGCCACACGAGCCGCTGCGGGTGCGCGCGGCCGCGGGCGCCGTACCGCGCCTGCGCCGCGCGCATTAGCCCACGCGTGGACGCCAGGCTCGCCTCCGACATCTGTACAACACATATAAACATTTCATAGATTAATACCTTAAATTGGGGGAAAGGTATTGTTAGCAATGGAACTTGACAGCTCCATTGCTAGCAATATGCCCCATCAGGTCGACCTCCACGCGATTCATAGGTTAATTCCTGATGAATCCATCATGATGAGCTAACTGGCCTGTTTTCATTCTCATCTATCACCCTTCACTGTTGCTCCGCCGGCGTATCCCGTTAGCGCAGGCGGGGTTACCATTCCATTTTCACCGATAAAAAAAAACTGCAGTTGCCAACCTGCCTGCCAAACACAGCAACTACTGGCAAAAACGTCTCTTACATAAGAGGCATATGTTCAGCAGTGGACAGTTAACGGCTGAATAATGATGATGAAAGTTGATAAGGTTTTATTCATCAAAATTCATAGTAATTGGTCAAGTCGTTAAGGCACTATAAGGTAACAAACTCTGGTATTTGGGGGGAAAAGGATTGTTGGCAATGGAATTTGACATCCCCATTGCTAGCAATATACCTTATTAGGTCGACCTCCACGTGCTTCCCCCTGGAAACCATCGTGAACAATTCTTATTGAATTCGTCACGATAGGCTAACTGACCTATTTCATCCTCACCTATAATCCTTCACTGGTGCTCCGCCGGTGTATACCGATAGCGCGGGTAGGGTTACCATTCCATTATCATCCATTAAAAAAAAAACACTCTGATATAAGGTAAATGCTTCTAGTATTATGGGTGATCGCGGGCGACGTTAGCCACTCACCATCAGGTAAGCCGCATGGTCGTCTGCCCCGTGTTAAAAAAAACAAACACTTTACATCATGCCAGTCATCAACTTGTTTACAATACAGAGGTAGCATAAAAGAGCAATACTAACGTTGCAATGCGCCTGCAGCTGTGCAGCGAAGTCGTTGAGGTAGTATACACTGTCAGTGTTGCCGCCGGCGGCGCTCTCGCGTTGGGACCACTCCGCCAGTTGCTCCTCTGTTGAACAATCATACATAGATATATTCTTTATTTTCGCCACCATTATTTTTTTAGACTCGCCGTGTGGTCCCAGCATAGAATGGGCCACACCTTCCTTTCCCGGGGGTGTCGTAAGCTTATGGGATGCAGGTATAGACAGCAGCGTCCTTCTTAAAACTTCTGTAAAAGTTAGCCTAACTAACTAAAGCTAACTTAACTAAACTAAAAGCCTAACTGTAGTTGCCGGGAGGGATTGTTTGTAATGTGGACTACATTTGCTAACAATATACCCAGTCAGGTCGACCTCCACGTGGTCCTCCTTGGAAACCATCGTGCTGAATTCCAGGTGTATTATTCATCACGATGAGCTATCTGACCTGCCTTTTCACCCTCACTGGTGCCCCGCCAACGTATACCGTTAGCGCGGGCGAGTTTACCATTACATTATCATGCATTAAAAAAAACTGTTATTGCCAACCTGTCCAGCGTGGCAAGAACTGGCAAAACTACCCTTATGGGGAAGGGTTATGTTCAACAGTGGACAGTTAAAGGCTGGTATGATGATGATGGAGTCTGCACTCACCGAGCTTGTGGTAAATGATGACAAGTGCCAATTCACTGGTACGCGCGTTGACGCAGCTCGCGTCGCATACAGCTATCTCAAGCAGATTCACCAGTTCGCTTTCCTGTAAAAAAAGATAATAATAAAAACAATACTATTAGAATTATTAAATACTAGCTGATGCCCGCGACTTTGTCCGCTTGGTATTTGTTATTCTAAATATTAAATAAATAGTAAATAATAAAAATATTATAAATAAAAATTATTTCTATTGTTTTCCAAACAATTGTGAGGTGGGCATCAGATCAATGTGAGGTGGGCACGGCCCCTCTTAAATACGCTTATAATGACAACGCTCCTCTCCCATTCTGGGTTGGACAGTAGACAATAGTGAAGTGGACACCACAAAACTATGAGGTAGGCGTAGCCCTTCGTAAAAACGCCTATTTGAACAATGCTACCCTCAAATCCCTAGGTGGCCAATAAACAATTATAGAGTGGGCACAAGAAAATTATAAGGTAGATACAATAATTTCATGGTGGTGGGCACAAGAAAATTATGGTGTGGGTGCAAGAGAAACTTATGGAGTGGACACAAAAAAATTATGAAGTGGGCACAAGTAAATTATAGGATCAATACAATGAACTTATGGGACGGGCACAAGAAACTTATGGAGGTGGGCACAAGGAATTACGGGGTGAGCACAATAAATTTATGGAATGGGCATAAAACTTATGGGTAGGGCTCAAGAAAATTACGAGACGGGCACAAGAAAATTACAGGATGGGCACAAGAAAATTACAGGATGGGCACAAGAAAACTAAGATGGCCCGTGCCCAAGCTAGGCGTGTGTTGTACCTGCAGGGGCGGCAGGCGCATGTGCAGGCGGGCGGCGGCGCGCGCCAGCAGCGCGTGCAGCAGGCGCAGCCAGTGCAGCGCCGTGCGCGCGCGCACGTGCGCCGCCAGCGCCAGCTTGTCGCCGATCACGCGCGACATGCGCCGCACGTCGCCCGCCGTGCACGCCGACTGCGACACTGACACTGCGCGTGCAAACATTATTTTTTTTAATTACATATTTACTTTTTTTTATACTACGAAGGTGGCAAACGAGTATACAGCCCGCCTGATGGTAAACGGTCACTGTAGCCTGTGGACAACTGCAATATAATTATTTTTTATTTCTTTACTCTTCCTAACTGCAGTTGCTGGGGGGAAAGGATTGTTGAACGGATTACCAATAAATACCTTCGCTAGCAATATACCCTGTCAGGTCGACCTAAACATGGTCCCTCCGGGGAGAAAGGGATTGTTAGTGATGGAGACTGACAATCCCATTGCTAGCAATATACCCAATCAGGTCCACCTCTTCGCGGTTCCCCCTGGAAACTATCATGAGGTAACTGGCCTGTTTTCATTCTCATCTATCACCCTTCACTGGTGCTCCGCCAGCGTATATCCCGTTAGCGCAGGCAGGGTTACCATTGCATTTTCAATCATAAAAAAAAAATATGCTCCCTCCAGGAAACCATAGTGCCGAATTCCTGACGTATTCATCACAATGTGCTAACTGACCTGCCTTTTCATCCTCACCTATCATCTCTCACTGGTGCCCCGCCAGCGTATACCGTTAGCGCAGGCGGGGTTACCATTCCATTGTTATCTATTAAAAAAAAACTGCGGTTGCCAACCCGACAGCCAAGCCTGGCGACTACTGGCAAAACCCTCCTTTACTGGACAATTAACGACTGGCATGACGAAAAGAATAATAATAAAAAAAACCTATAATTTTTTCAAAATTTATAATAATAATATTTCTTTATTACAGATTACTAAGATCCATTTTTGTTAGTAACAAATGACTTAAACTATGTTAGTAGAAAAAAAAAAAAAATAAGCCCTTTATGGAAATGAAATTAATATGAAATTTTAACGACACAGATAAAGCAAGGCGGTTTAAACCGGCACGAACGTATATTTTACGACCTTTCTACAGCGACAGTGTGTAGTTATAAACGGCCATTGACCTTGCGCAGCTGATTTCTTTGTTCACCGATAAGATTATGATAATTACACGATGTTGGTATTCCATTTATAAAAACTAACACCTACCAACTTATTTTTACAGTCAGTGTTTTGTCATCTTTAATTTTTTTTTTTGTATGCAACTTAGAATGGTAAACTAGCTGACGGCCCACTTAATGGAAAGTGGTAACTGTCGCCTATAGACATGAGCAGTACTGTGGACATAACAGAGTATACTGTTTCCCCCATAATACCTCCCATGCGTTGCCATTCCTGAGGACTCGGATATTATTCCTCCATACTCTGTAAATTTACTGCCGTATCAACACAACTGCTTCACAATAGAATCACTAATGAAACAAAGGCGCCCAAGCAAAACGACTTTTGTACAGTCTTCCTCTGGTAAATATATGTATGTAACTAAATACCTATGTTTGTACAATAGTTGTACAATAGTGTAGTACAAAAACAAATGTAATGTTAAATATATATATATATATATATATATATATATATATATTTCAATTTTGGAAATTGTTTGAAATTTTAAACACGATACTTCGGTATGAACACGCATTACCTATCATCGTGGCATGTTCAAATGACTCACCAAGTTCCTCCACGGAGACGGTCCTCGGCTGGCGAGTGTCCTCGGCGCGCTGATCGATCGCGATGTTCATGCAGGAGACAGTGATGCACGGGATATGGCAGGGGCGCACTTTCATTTTGGTCAAGAACCTGTCGCAACACACAACATACCATTACTCCCTTCAATTTACCGTGGAGATTGTTGACATTCAAAGAAGTAAAAAATAAGCGAGCTAGCAACAACTTTAATACTATTTCTAAAAGACTTAATTTTTTTTTTTTTTTTATACTACTTAGAATGGCAAACAAGCTGACGGCCCACCTGATGGAAAGTAGTAACCGTCGCCTATAGACATGAGCAGTACCATGGACATAATAGAGTATACTGTTTCGCCCATGATACCCCCCATGCGTTGCCATTCCTGAGGACTCAGGTGTTATTCCTCTGTACCCAGTAAATTCACGCCTTAATATAAATCTATTTTCGAAAAACATAATATCAGTGAGAGACCAACTGAGTGGGCATTTTTTTATTCATAGTTTGAATAGCTATTGTATAGACAAGAAGGCCATATTTTAATCAAATACTTGTAATTTATTTTTACTTTGTATTTTATTCATCATTTTTTTTTTCGTTTTCGTTCTTTTTTGTTAATTTTTTTTTGTTTACAAGCTTTTATTTAACTTCACTTTTTTTTGTTAACTCCTATTTTTGTTGCTCTGTGTACATATATATTGCCGCAACTTGTGAAAACCTATTATTGGCTTATTTTGTAATCCCAAACTGTATCTTTTTGCTCTAGTGTAGCCCTGGTTTTCCTATGAATAAAAAAATAAATAATAAAAAAAAATTCTTCAATTGTGGCGAACCAAGTTATTTCGATTTATTTATTTATTTAAGGACAACCAACAAAGCATACATTTATATCTATTTAAAATACATTATAATAAGGTTACATTATAAAATGCTGCCTCAATTAAAGGCCGCCACGACATGCGTATTCATACTATATTATTATTATTATTAGGATGAAAATTTATAAAAATTACAATACAATAAATAGTTTTTTTTTATGCGTAAAAATGGTATGGTAACAGTAGCCCCGCCTGCGCTAACGGAATACGCTGGCGGAGCACCAGTGAAGGGTGATAGATGAGAATGAAAACAGGCCAGTTAGCCCATCGTGATGAATTCATTAGGAATTAACCATGATAGTTTCGAGGGAGAACCGCGCGGAGGTCGACCTGGTTGGGTATAAGCATTGCTAGCAATGATATTCTCCATTACTAACAATCCCTTCCCCCCCCCCCCTTGAAGTCGGTTAAAAATAGAAATCCTGTTTGTTTATTACACCTACACGATTTAACCAATCAATATGAAATTTGGTACTATGGTGGATGGAAAAGTACAATCTAATTTTATCCCGCTCAGTGACCATACCCCGGTCACGCAAAGCCGCGGGTAAAAGCTAGTAAATAAAAGAAAAAACACCGCCTTCGTACGCACCTGTCAAACAGATTGATGGCGTTGATAAGTACTTCGGCTGGCAGGTCGTACCACACCTTGAGACAGCGCAGCACGTGGGCGGCGCCGTCCCGCGCACCTATTGTCACCTCACCATTCTGTAACCGTGCGCGGGTATAGCGCTTTAATCATGGACTTCATACATGTAGATAGAGTCTACAATATATATAGCAGTGGTGGGCATATATTTTGATAGTCGGGCCACATTGCACATGAAAAGTTTGACCCAGGGCCAGTTTTTTTTTTTCTAATTTTAAGTTTAAATTTTGCTAAGGATATCAATTAATGAATTTTAAAACTAAAATTTTTGAAGCAAAATATTTATTAAGCTCGGAAAAGAGCAGTCGTCCGGGAGAAAATTTTGGCTCCCACCGGCCCTGATAATGTGTATAAGTATTGCTTTTTTTTTTTTTTATACAACTTAGAATGGCAAACAAGCTGACGGCCCACCTGATGGAAAGTGGTAACCGTCGCCTATAGACATGAGCAGTACCATGGACATAACAGAGTATACTGTTTCGCCCATGATACCCCCCATGCGTTGCCATTCCTGAGGACGCAGGTGTTATTCCTCTGTACCCAGTAAATTCACGCCATATCCCACCCTTCAAACCGAAACACAGCTAAAATTGTATTATATATGCACCAATAAAGACAAAAACTAATATTTGTGTTTTTAATAATAACATATACAATGCTTCAAGGGCCAGACAAAATTCTACCGCGGGCCGGATCCAGCCCGCGGACCGCCATTTGCCCAGGTCTGATATATAGTAGAGCCCTGTTGAAGAGGGGAAAGAGATTGCTTCACAATGGAGATTTAGTCATTAAGTGTTTAATCGCAACCAAAACATAAAAATAAACAATGTTATAAACAATTCAAGTGAAATACAGGCACAAAAGTCGGTCTTATCGCTAGGGCAATCTTTTACAGACAACCTTACCTTTTGGTTAAAGGAGAACAGATAGAAGTGGGCAAGGATTATTATTATTAGAGATTCAGAATCATCGTAGTAAATACCTAGTGTATTCGACACAATAGGATCATCACCATTCGACTACCAATCATCTGGTAAAGTCTCAGGAGTCTCACCTCAGAGCCGGCAGGCAGGCACAGTCTCGGCTGGAACTTCTGCTCCAGCTGCAGGTACTCGTTGAGGGTCGCGTACATTTGCACGTCCACGTCCTGGTCGTGCTGCCGCGATGTGGACGCCTCGAGCTCGTCAGCATCCGGGTGCCTCGCGCCCGCTCTCAACATGATCGGGCTATGCGAGCGGCGGGTGAATCGGCACCTGTACCGTTAAGGATTCACAGCATGTTCAAACGGGAGTGTGACGACATCGGAAAGATTATTAGTCAATTTTTATCAATTTGTTCCCTAGAAACTGCTCTATATAGCCTGATAGTGATCTAAATTAAAAAAAAAAAAAAAAATCTATACAATTCCTATTAGTCTGAAAAATTTAATATTAATGGCAAACGCGATATATAGGCGACGATTACCACTTTCCATCAGCTTGTTTGCCATTCTAAGTTATATATATATATATATATATATATATATATATATACCTAGAAAATTTAGAAACAAAATATTTTCAGCTTTGTTTAAGAATTGCATGGAAACCGGAGCTCAAAAAATTTTTTCACCAAAAAATCTGAAAACTAGAGTTTTCAAGCTTCAAAACCCTTTTTTTAAATTTTCTGTACGATTATTTTTCACTGAAATACAGCCTGTCGAAAATCACCCAAAAATTTCAAAAATTTTTATGTTCCCTTAATTTTTGCGAGGTGTATATATATATATATATACACACTTTTTAACAGTCTTCCTCTGGTCAGAAACCTGGCCTTCGGAGATTGGCAGAGGTGTTAAAGAATTATAATATTGGATCAGAAACTTAACACATTCATTGCTTACGAAAATAATGGAAAATAATAGTTGGGAGCCAATTTTTTTTAAGAGTAATTTTGATTAAGTATATACAAATATTTAAAAATATGAATGAATGTTTATGATTATTATTATTATTTTAATAAAAAATAACATTTTTCGGATCCGAGTGGGAGGCACCGCCACTACGGCCCTGCCCCACTCGGATCCGAGTTGTGAGCAATGAATGTGCTAACCTATATAATGTGTTACTCATATTCAGTGCAAGGACTTACCTAAGCGTGCGCAGGAGCAAGCAGCGGCTAAGTGTCGTTGTGTATGCCCGCGCCGATCCCCCCACGGCTCGTCGACCCGACGGTTTGAGCGACCGGGCGCGGAGGCCCTAGTACCTGACCACAAGAGAGCGCTGTCAACGCACTGCGGCCGAAACGGCCACTGAGCGGTGAAAACAGGGTTAGCTTTTAGGATTGGGATAGATGGAAAATGTCGTCTAGGTAAACGAAATCTGGTTATAAGTGAAAATGAATTATTTCTTTATAGAATACAAAGAAAAATAATTTAGGGAGATTTGGAGACCAAAATAAATAGTAAGGGTTGATTTAACAGGATATTTAGTTAGAAAATATAGGGTATTGAAACAATTTAATTGAAAATCGAATGTGATGGAAGTCGTAAGTAGGTTCTAAGGATTGGAATAGGGATTTAGCTCAGTAAGGTTACTGGGTACAATGTTTTGTTGAAAAACAATTGCCCAGCCACCTACGCGCCTCTCGGTGCTACAGTCAGATACACGTACAGCTGTGGTTGAGCACGGCTGTAGGCCTAGTACGTTACGCTCACGAAAGCAAGACGCAACGACGCTAAAGCTTGGGAAAAACTTTAAAATGCCACGGTCAAACCCCTTGACCCTAGTACACACCGGGTGCAGGAACACCCTTGATACTATTTTTATGTGAACCGTCGAAGGTTCCTCACTGTAAGTGAGATGGGTCGCTTGACAGGGTTGTACAACAATAAATATTTGGCTCAATCAGATACCTGTAAAATGATCACATCGCCGATATTGTCACATGCTCTAATAATGGTGTATTTACACCGTCACTACCTTATGAGTCATGTTTAAAACAAGATTTGATAAAATTTAATGAAGGCCAACCAGTGTCATGTTTACTACTATTATTAATTACGCAAATTTCTTCTTTTCCTCTAGACCAAGAGTTCCCAAACTTATTTTGGTCTACTGCCCACTTTGAGAATAATTTTTTCAATAATATTTTAATTTTTTTACCTACTTGAAAACCACTATTACTTCAAGATCAACAAATCACCCCCCAAACCTCTACACAACGCCCCAATTTTTTTTGGGTGTCTTACCGCCCCCCTTTAAGCCTGCAGCGCCCACAAGGAGGCGTTATCGCCCATTTTGGGAAAGGCTGCTCTAGACCTGTGAATTCGAGTAATTATTTCGTTATTATGACACGTATCAGTTCCTATCTAATTTTTGTGTTTGAAGGGGGAGATTGTTAACAATGGGGTAACTCCATTTTTAACAATGAAGCCCCTAGAAATCACCCTTATTAATTCCAAATGAATGAAGTCACATCAGATGACACGTAATTAGAGACTCTCACATGATTAGCAGTAATACGACACCCAAACACAAAGTATCTATAAGCACAAAGTATTATAAAACTAACAAGTTGGAATCAATTAGACAAGGTCATTATTAAATTATTAATTTTGTATGAATTTTAAAACGGCAATATGGTATTTTTATCAGCGATTTAAACGACTTGCTGTTTACATATTCTTTTATCAGAAGTGACGCAAACGCCAAAACAATTCAAGGCTTCTGCGTTGTTATTTTTCATAATATTATTACGATATTTGTTCTGTAGTACTATTATTGCCGTGCGGTCCCGGCATAGAATGGGCCACCCCTTCCTTTTCCACGGGTGTCGTAAGTGGTAACTAAAGGTATTTAATGGTCGAGGAATAGGCAGCAGTGTATCTCTTTAAATGAATTTACAGGGTACAGAGGAATAACCCCCGAGTCCCCAGAAATGGCAACGCATGGGGGGTATCATGGGCGAAACAGTATACTCTGTTATTTATAATTTTAATAATTTTTATTTAATTTAAATTATACAAAAAATGACTATTCAAAGATGCTTAACAATTAAACATACTTAAATAAAAAAAAAAAAACATTTATTTACTAGTCTTAAAACTGAGATGTTTACAAACTAGCAGCCATAACTTCACCATTACCACACCATATGTTGACACCATTGTTGCAACTCTATATTAACGTATGGAAAATGTTAAAAAAAATATATATATAATTAACATATGTGATAATTTACATCAGAATCACATCTTGAACACTTACAAGTTTCACTTTCCATGGGAGTTGTGTAACATATGGTCATGTTACGTACTGTGTTAGGTTCAATGCCCTTTTGGTTTACTATATTTATCGTTGGTCACTGTTTGCCTCCACGGGGAACCATCCACATATCGTCATAGTCGTAGAATACTGACGGATCCTTTATATATAATATTCGTCAGATCCGTCAGTATTTTACGACTATGACGATATGTTTTAACAGTTATATACAGTAAACGTCTGGTGTATTTTCGTGTGGTCCCGTTATAGAATATCTAGCCATCATAAGCCATACCTTTTTTTTCCTTTTTTTTTATACAACTTAGAATGGTAAACAAGCTGACGGCCCACCTGATGGAAAGTGGTAACCGTCGCCTATAGACATGAGCAGTACCATGGACATAACAGAATATACTGTTTCGCCCATGATACCCCCCGTGCGTTGCCATTCCTGAGGACTCAGGTGTTATTCCTCTGTACCCAGCAAATTCACGCCATATCCCACCCTTCAAATCGAAACACAGCTATGCAAACACAACTGCTTCACGGTTGAAACACGAATGGGACAGAGGTACCCAAGCAATCGACTTTTGTACAAAGTCTCCCTCTGGTCTGCTTGATCCTCACCAATCATCCCTCACTGGTGCCCCGCCAGGGTATACCGACAGCGCAGGCGTGACTACCATTCCATCATCACCCATTAAAAAAAAGTGCATTGCTAGCAATGGGGACATTACTCTCCATTAAAAACAACCCTCTCTCCCCAGAATGGATAGTTATCATAAGTTTCTAAGTGCATTCTTAGATTGCAACTGAAATAGACTCCACTAAACTCACAGCTCACTTTCACTGGTGCAAACGTAACCGTCGCGGTGAGATTCTCTAAATATCGTATAGTAAGTTACTGGAACAAGCAATTATATGTACACGTACGTACATACACGCATTTCTATTTACACGACCGCGCAAAAAAGTTGTGTAATGTTTTTAGGGTTCGTGTATGATAGATAGATATACATATATATTTTTCTAGCTATTTCCCCCGCTTCTAACTATGTAGTTCCCGTATATCATTCCCATTGGAACTCTCCATGAAACCGCTCTTATGTTGTATTATATACTTAAATGATAATTACGTACCTAATACCTTCATAAAGTTTCAGCCAATACAACTGCTTCACGGTTGAAACACGAATGGGACAGAGGTGGCCAAGCAATCGATTTTTGTACAAAGTCTCCCTCTGGTACAACAAAAAGTTTTATTTACCCTTTCTATTACCCCATTAGTTTACAATTCCTTGTGTTGATATGTGGATATTATGAAACAATACACAGACTATTTGGCAGTGCTCGTGTAAATATGTTTATGCCATTGACCCAATGGCGGGACCTTCGCACGCGCCGTCAGCCGCCAGGCCAATGCCAGGAAAACCATAATAGTATGGGACGCCATCTTTGATTTTTTCTTTTCAGCGATGTATGCAATGCCATCCTCTTATTATATTATAGCCGTTAACTGTCCACTGCTAACATAGACAACCCCCTATTGAGGATTTTGATAATAGTTCCCACGTTTGGCAGGTAGATTTTTTTTTTAATGAGTGAAGATGGAACGGTAACTCCGTCTGCACTAACGGTATACGCAGTAAAAGGTAACAGGTGAGGATGATAGCAGGTCAATTGGCCCACAGTGACCAATTGAACAAGAATTAACCACTATAGTTTTCAGGGAGAACCGCGTGGAGGTCGACCTGGTAGGGTGTATTGCTAGCAATGGGGCTGTTAAATCTCATTACTAACAATCCCTTCCCTGTCAAGTCGCCTACTCGTGCCTATTGTGAAACCGAATGATAACTAATATAGGCACGAAATCGCAAACATTTGAGTCAAATTTATAAATAGAAAGAAAAAAAACTGTAAAACGACAACTGTCATAATAATAATATGCCGTCATCAGAAGAAACGGTTAACGTAATTACCATACGGTACGAAAATCCGTTATCGAGCGAAACAAGATGGCGTCCGCGGGTGTTCTAATTTCAAATGTCTATTTCTGTAGATTATTGGCGGGAAAGTGGGACGGCGGGAAAGGCGTTACTGTTTGATACGATACACAACAACGTCTGTGTGATTACAATATACCTACTTAATTAATTTCACAAAGTACAATTGTTCCATGAAACTCCTAGAAATATTATGTGAATGATTGTGAATATGAATGATTGGTTGATTAATACACTCAAAAATTTTGTACACGGATAGGTTATATACTAACTTTTATTTATACAACTTAGAATGGCAAACAAGCTGACGGCCCACCTGATGGAAAGTGGTAACCGTCGTTTATAGAGATGAGCAGTATCATGCACATAACAGAGTATACTGTTTCGCCCATGATACCCCCCATACGTTGCCATTCCTGAGGACTCAGATGTTATTCCTCTGTACCCTGCCCCCCCCCATGCGTTGCCATTCCTGAGAACTCAGGAATGGCATGCCTGTAAATTCACTGCCATATCCCACCCTTCAAACCAAAACACAGCAATGCAAACACAATTGCTTCACGGTAAAAACACATGGATTTTAAATATTATAATAATAAACTCCTATCTCTAATTAGGAGAGAAAACAACACAAAACTAAGGTGGCACACGGCCAATTTATTATTATAAATAAATAAACCAGTCAAGTTCGGAAGGATCAAAAATAACCATATTTCGGCCACCTTGACCGAAATATCGGACAATTTTGGAAATAGAAAAATAAAATGAAGGTGTGATGACATCATTTAATATGGCACGGCTGCACTTTGGCCCATCAGAATGACCAATGTCATGTAAAAGATTGGGTCACTCGGGCACAGTGTAAGGAACGATCAGTGACCTTTGGTATGTCCTGAAGGCTACGAGTAACGATTGTAAAAAAAAAATATAAAAAAATCAATAAGAATCGGGGAAAACATCGAATGAAATACAGGTGAATTCGAGAGCTAGACCGAGA